TGGGGGGGCGAAGGTGCGTATCCCGGGGCTGAGGGGCTTCGTCGCCGGGGAGCTGGCACTGCCCCTTCCGACAGCAGAGCGCTGCCGTCGGGGTCTCCCGCACGCAGCCGTTGCATAGCTCCCTTGCGAGTGGTAGGGAGAGGGGGTCACCATTGTGGGAAAACACACTTTGTCTTTTGTGAGTGGCTAAAGTCGTCCCTCTCCCACCCATCATGTATCCCCCTCTCTCTCAGCTGGCGAACGCTTTATCTCATTTTCATCAACAGTAATAGAAACAAAGAAGATCCCCTGTTTCTTCAGCTCTTTTTTAGTTTTTTTTTTTTCTTCCTCCCCCTCATGGCTCTGAGCTGTAAAGAAGAAACACCCACGTATGTTCTTCCTCACTTAGATGGATCTGAAGACTTTACATCAGCTCAATTTCATGATCTGGGATGGATATTTATGTTACAGATCCTCATGATATGGATTTATTTTGAAGACGCAACAAAATACAGGATGTTGAGCACTGAGAGTTTAAAAAAAATGATACTTCAAAGCATTTGCAACAGGGGTGTGTGGGGGTTATTGAAGTGCTGTACCCCTTAAACCTCAGAGGCAAGGCTGTGCTTGGTGGACACTCTGCTCTGACTCCTTGTTCCCTCTTGCTGTAGGAGGTTGCTGTAAAGTTGGAGTCTCAGAAGGCTAGACATCCGCAGCTGCTGTATGAAAGCAAACTATACAAGATTCTGCAGGGAGGAGTTGGCATCCCACATATACGGTAGGAATCATTAATGTATGCTAGTACATCTTCTTTAATGTTAGTGTGAGGCAGGACACCACCATTAAAAACACATTGATCTGGAAGGGATTGGGCTGTTGGGGGAAAAGTGCTCTATTCCAACCTCTACGACTAGTTGTGTGTCGTCCCCACTGGCCCACTGTCTCCTCCGTACATAGGGTGCTTTGAAAGTGGGATCTTCAGCAGCTCCTGAGCTGTGAGAAATCCTTGTCGTGATTAGAACAAAGTGTGAGACAGTTTCGGTGAGAGCCCATGTTCTCGATGATGTTGAGAGTTTGGAGCCGGTACTGGAAATGGCTGCTTTCTTTTGTTGCCTTTTTATTTTTTTTTTTGTTCCAACATGTCTTCCTCCTCCGCTCAGAAAATGGCGGATGGACGTGGTTAACCCTCCCCCTTCTCGTGTTGGGACAAGGGACGTGCTCAGGCCTGTATCTTTTCCTTTCATAGTTATGTGCTGCAAGGCTTGAGACGGCAAAGAACCTCAACCAGGAATGAAATGGCAGCCCCTTTCTGTTACCCACAACAGATGCGTCACTAGGATTTCTGTACAGCTAAAGTGCCAAGATTAATCCCTCCCAGTTACTTGTTGTGCGGCTTCCTTGTTTCATGTTCTGTCTGAAACTTTCAATAGTGTTTAATTTTTTGATCTGGAGGAAAATCACTGATGCAGCAGATTCCGGGAAGAGTTATTTCTCTTGAGTTTAAACTTTGTTAATAATTGTTTTTGAAGTTAGTATTTATTATGTTTGCACTATGGCATAAAGGAATTTTGTTCCTTGAGCTGCAGAAACTATTCCAATTTAGATACTGGGTCAAACTGGATTCCATTTAATCTGTTAACCCTTCCCTGACTTGCTTGTATGTGCACCTATCTCGGTAGTGGCCTGTGGGGTCTATTGTAAGGTCATAATGATGACATATTCTAGATCATGTATTAATTTTAACAAAGCCTAAAACAAGTCTGCATTTCTGAGGTTAATAACTCCCCTCCCCCCTCTTTCCTGCTCCAAACACAACTGACTGTAGTCCTGAATGTAAACTGGAGCTGTATAGTGAAGCAGCCAGTGTTGTCTTAGCCATCTGTCCTCATTCACAGCCTTTTTCAGGAATGGAATAAACATACCTGAATTAAGCTCAATACTTGCAGCTTAAACAGAGTTGCTTGTGTGAAAACAGATTTAGTCTTTATTTTAGACTACAGTTTCCTTCTTTTCTTAAAATGGGCGCCATTATTTCACAACTGAAAGAATAGAAATTGCATTTTGGAAAGCTATTACAGTATTGTTATGCGTTAAAACCAGGATAACTGGGAAAACAGCTGAAGCAAGCAGATATCAGGTGTTTCATCACGAAACTGGAAAAGCAGGCATTCTTAAGGTGTTTTTTTTTTAAAGTGAACAAACATTTGGTGCTATAATGAGGCCTAAGTTGCAAATTTTTCAACTTTTCCATGTGACAGAAGTGAACTACTGTTTAAGTTCTTGGATTTGGTTAAAATGCCCTATGAGAGCATCTTATTTAAAGCTGAAATGCTGGAAGTAATCTTGCATGTTGTGAAACTTGCTTCTAGCTTCAGTCATAGCAGTCATCTTCAAGTTTGCTCTGAATCTGATGTTCGTGTATTTGACTTTGTTTTCTCTGTAACCAGTGGCTGTGGTTTAGAAGTCTCACCACCACAGGGGAGCTACGACCTTTCTTTGACATACACTTCCTTCCTCCTCCCTCCCCACCCCCAAATAATAGAAGATTACAAGGATCTGAATAAGAATGGACAACTTAGGCAGTACTCACAGCAATTCAAATTGATTCATAGACCGATTGTGCTAAAGGTGTGGGATTTATTTGATAACGTCAGTGGGTCTTGAAGTTTTTCACTTTCACATTCTCACAATGTTACTCTTGGTAGTACTTTCAGTGTAAGTACTTTCTGAAAGTGTCTTTCAGAAACTTCTGGAAATAACCTTTTTTGTCTTCAGAAACAGCATTAATTTTAAGTCTATTTGTATGTACCAGATGCTGCTTGACAGGTTCTTTGACTAGGCTTCTGTTACTAGTTGTCTTCTTGCTGTTGGACATCTGGTGATGCTTGAAGAAATCTAAAATAGTATTTTTATGTTTACCTTCATTAAGAGGAAGCTGAGCAGGGTACCCAGCACAGTTCTTGCAACAAACCTTAAAACATGATGTGTTTAGTAGAAGTAGAATCCATGGTAGTTTGAATCGAAGGGAGAGGACTTGGCATACCAGATCAGGTATATCTGAGGTGCTTAACAAGGATATGTCTTTGAACAGGTGATTACAAAGAGTAAGGCCAAAGTGAAATTGCTGTGTGTGTTGTTTCAGACAATTCAAGCTTTTCTGACACGGGTTTTTGGCAGCAGCTAAGCTTGGAGAATGTATGACTTTGTACTTAGGTCACTTTGCACGTGTAATTGATAATGAATGTTCCACCATTGTTTTATAATAGTATGCTGTCAAGTCAGAATAAACTGTTCCTGGCTCAGTGTATTTATAAGGATGAATCAAGTTGAAGGAAAATCTTTCAATACATTTGTTAAAATTTATGTAATGTGACACCTTTAAACAACAACAGCACAGACAGAGCATTTGATAGAAAATTAAGAAATCATTCTAAGCTTTTCCCATTGGCATGCTGTATAAGCTGGGCTCAGCAGCATTTTCATCTCAGTGCTACACATCTGGGAAACAGAGGCACATAATACTGCATTCCTCATTTAAGAATGAGGGACTTATTAGCTATTTTTCATGTACCTAAGTAATGCAGTGACCAGTAAGTATCAACTTACTGGAAGTTGCGTTATGTGGCTTAGCCTTAGTGAAGTGGTCTGCTGTGGTTCTTTGACTCACTAAGCTGAAATAATAGGTCAGGTATGGATTGCTCATTCATTTTGGGCACCTGTTCTTAAAACTGAATTCTGCCCTTTAGATGTGGTTGCAAATTTAGTAATGATAAGGTAGCATATCTGGAATGTCACTTGAATTATGTAGAACCAAGCAATTTTTTTGTAGCCTTTAAGGTTGATTTGATGGCCCTTCTGGATGATTGCAAGAAAGCTAATGAGCAGAATTTCAGTTTTGGAGTTAAAAGGTTTTTTTTAATATTGCTTCTGTGGGATCAGCTGTGAGCCCTCACTTGTTGAGGAGGGTGATCAAGGAGCTTTGGTATTCCCACTGTAGCAGAACACATTTACACATAAAATAGCAAAAATTGAGGTTGGAATGTCTTTATTCCCCGAATATTCTAAACCCTTTTAGACTTGCAAATCTTTGACTTTGCTGCTTATTGTTGTTTCCTGGAAGAGTAGCAACGTTTCTGGACTTGTCTCTGGAGTTTCACAAAACCTTGTATAAATGCTATACAGATTTTTAAGATGTGGCTTGTTCTTGATGTACAAATTTTGGTTAATTATTACCTTCATTTTTCCCAAAAGGCTCTTGAACCACGCTTAACATTCTAACAATCTGATTTGCCTTTAGGACACAATGCAAAGTCTGCTGTATTGTGCTGGGCTTACTCTCATTGTTCTCGGCTATCAGCTGTCTTTTTTTTTTCCCCTCTCTTTTTCAGTGGCAAAGCATTTTTAGCTGTAATCTTGTTAACTGGGCACTGATCCTCTTAGTTTGGACTGTCTAGTGTTATTCGCAAATTCTTGGTTCTGGCTTAGAGGAACGCAGCAGAGTGTTTGGTCATTTTTGTGTGTTGTTTTGTTCATACCGTGATTCTGTTAAAATAAACTCATGACAGAAACAGTTTTTTGAGTTATCTATGACAGCTGCTCTTGATTTTTTGCTATTTATGGTGTTTATCAACTATGGTTTGTATCCTTTACGAAGATTAGGTACTCTCAGACGTACTTTTGAAAGACAAGTGGGCTTCAGATTTTTCATGGCTTTAGATTTTTTTACTGATCAGGGGATTACTTTTTTTTATCATCGCTTTCAAATGGAAAGCAGTTATGCTGGAACCAGCTGTGGCTATTGTTGATGTATTAGAAGCATTGCACTTAAGAGCAGGAAGAGCGACTAGTGAATGTGAAACAGATACTGTGTGTATTCCTCTGTGGGCAGGGCCGAAGAGATACTGTACAGTGTCTGAGGCTAATCAAGGTGATACTTAGGTTTAGTCATCTGTAAGTTTAAAACCCAAAAGCTACTGACTTGGCAATTTTTTCAGTGTTTTCTTGGCTGAACAAGTAAATATTTACATTATGAACTTTTCAACGCAGTAAGTTCTTGCAAATATTTTGATGTTGAGAAATTTAGTATTGGCACCCATGTGCCACTGTACAGTCTTCTAAATTATGAAGCATACTGTAAAGTTTCTGGCAAAAAAAAAATCTATAAAAGCATCTCAGATTTGTTCTTCTGGTTGCTTACTGCTGTGTTGGCTCATTTATTGCTAACAGAATGTATTCATCTTCAGTAAGTCATACATGGAATGGAAAAATGTGGTCGAGTTTGGTAATCTTAGTAATCACAACAGATTTTCCTTGAGCACTTCAGATTTTGATCTCATTAAGCAGTGCTTAAAAATCTGTAAATACACCTCTCAAACACGATTTTAAACTCTTTTCCCCAATAACTTCCTGCAGCATTAAAAAAAAAACCACACCAAAATTAAAAACACTGCTGGAAAAATACCCAGCAAACCCACAAAAAAAAAGCAACCCTTCCAGTGCTTCCTCCCGACAGAAGAAAAACCCAAAACTCGTAGTTGGATAAAGTCTGAAAATTCTTGTCTTGTCATTGTCTTGTCTTGTCATACTTTCATCTAGGTCTGCAAGTAATGAGGAGGAACGTTCTAGCAGTAGAGCCTCCTATTAATTAACCTTCTGTTACTACTTAAGGCTGCATTGTGAAGGACAGGATCACTCTAGTGGATAAGAGAAAGCCTCTGTTCTGGTAGCTCAAAGTAAAATTGAAAGCTAGTCTTTTAAATTAGTACCTAAATTTTTTCT